TATATATATATATATATATATATATATATATATATATAGTGTTTTACTCTTTTAGTTAAAAATTGTTTTTTTAATGTGAGTGGTGTTTGGACCAGGAGCTGACGGATGCTTCTTTACACATGCAGATAGAGGCTGGTGGTGGGAGAATGCCATCGCCGCGATCTCTCTGGGACACTCTCCGGTCAGCTGGCTTATCCGCAAAGTGAGTACTAGTATCCAGTCTGCCTCGCCCGAGCTCATCGAAACAGAGGGACCGTGTTCCAGGGCTCTGTGTCCTTTAACAAGATTGATTTATTTTCCCAAGAGGAGTAAGCAGTGTACTGTTTTCCAGTGCATCTGTCTTTCCACAGTAAACGTTAATGATGAAGCTGGCTAGCAATGACGTGGGCAGATTTTAACCAGTAATGTCCTCCTGCAATAGAGACAAGAATCGGGGTGAACTGAGCTCCACCTGAGTTGTACAGAGGGACCTGGCTGCCTTAAAGGAAAAATAAGGGGATGAGGAAGGGGTGAATGGAGACTTAGAGGAGTCAGAGAAGACACACGTGAAATAAATGTAAATAAAATAACAAAAATATCTCATCTTTCCAGCAATATGTACAAGGCCCAGTCAGGGCTTGTGTGCCATGTGATAGAAACTTGGGGGGACGCTAGCTGCTGAGTGGCCCTTTCCTTGACCCCTTTCCTCTCCCCAGACATCTGTGTGTCTTGTCAGGATGGTAACTGTCAAACGTCTTTCTCTCAGAAAGTGACAGAGGTGATTGCGAAGGCGGAGAGGACGGGGCGTCCCTACGGCACAGGGTCCTTGGCAGCCGAACTTAGGGAAGGCGGACGCACGGAGTGGGGGGCTGGGAAGTGGCCCTCTTCGCTGTGCCCGCCTCAGACCTTGGTGTGTCCTCGCAGACTTGGTCTGGCTCCTCATTCTACTGCCACATGCCGTCTCTCTATCCCAAGCCTTTGCCCGTTGAGTCCATTGACCTGGGACTCAGTCCCACATCCACTCCGAACCCTGTAGCCGCCGTCACAGTGTGACTCCTGTCTGCCTCTTGGTACCTGAGTCCCCGGGCCCTAGGAGAGGATGGGTTCCTTGTGGTTTCCATCATTATTTCACATGTCACCGTTGCCTGGTTATGTCTTCGGGTTCTCGGGAAATTTGTTGAGAGCAAGAATGAGCTCCTGGCCCCCCCTCCAGCACATCGCCTAGTGCAGAGCCGTGTTCAAGAAGTGGCTCTGGGGAGAGCAAATGAGTGAGGAGATATGGTCAAAAATCATGTTGCCAAGTCTCGGGGAGTCAAGGCTAGGACTAGCCGAGAGTTCTGTCCTGGAGAAATTCCTGCAGCTGTGGGCTCTCTGAGGGGGTTGTCAATCTTGTTTTGTTTTCCTCTCAGGAGCCCCAGTGACTACAGGGTAAGGTCAGGGGTCACAGGTTACAGCCATGGCTTAGCATCACCTTAGGAGGAACTTAGAACATGCTTTGGAATGAATGCCTGTCCTGCCATGTGACCCTTTCCCTCGGGTGACGTCACCAGTACTGGTTTGTCTTTTTGTTCAGACCCTGAGTGACTCAGAGAACTTTGAGGAGGCTGTTTACACTCTGGCCAAGAAGCCCCTCATTGCTGATGTTTACTACATCGTTGGGGGTACCGCGCCCCGGGAGGGGGTAGTCATCACCAGGAACAGAGGTGGCCCAGCGGACATTTGGCCTCTTGACCCTTTGAATGGAGCGTGAGTAGATTGCAGTCTCTTCATCAAATCTTTATTTGCTGAACTAGGAGTTATTTTGACATTTTAGTAGTTTCTTCTACATGTCCCCAGACAAGGCGAACTGACGCACTCTATTGCAGGTGGTTCCGGGTTGAGACAAATTACGATCATTGGAAGCCTGTACCCAAGAGGGATGATCGAAGGTAGACGCTTTGTGCTTGTTTCGCCCGTTTTATTGAGACAGGGTCTCACTCCGCAGCCCAGGCTAACCTGGCACTCACTTTAAAGCCTAGGCTAGCCTCAAACTCAGAGTAACCATCTTGCCTCAGCCTCCCTGGTACTAGGATTAGAGGCGTGGGCCTCCATACCCAGCCCTGCAGGTAGACTTCCGATATTTTCTCATAGTCAGGAGACTGTCCTCTTCCTACAATAGGGACCTACAGATGCCATCTCCTTCAGAACAATACGTCTGGCCCTCACCAGGGCCTGGGCAGGGTGGAGAGTACAGTGTGGAGGGGGCAGTGGGGAGGACCTCTTTTTAGTTGGTGGGGGCTGGAAGGGTGAGATTGGCCCTGGCCTCAGGGTCAAAGGGCCCTGGATCCCATCATGAACTCTACCAATGACCCTGTGGGGGCCACCGGGGCCTTTGTTCGCCTCCCTGAAAGTGGATGGGAAGAGCTGAGTGATGGGATACTGTGGTAAGACTTGATTTGGAAGGAAGGCATCTCCCATAAATCAATCAGCTAATTGATCTGCTGATTCAAGGGCTCGCTCGCATTGTCCTTTCTAATGTGGACATACCGAGTCACTGGCTTACAGGAAGTAGTATATCTCACCAATCTCTGCTCTCCCACATGTTTGGCGGTAGTTCATTTCTGCAGCACCTGCCCTGACTTCCTTGAGCATGTGGAGTGAGGGGGTACCAGCAGAAGGAATCGGGTGGCACAGGAAGAAGGCTGGGAGTCAGTCTGTTTGGAGGAGACTGCGCCTGGCGCTGTGACACTCCAAATGGCCTCTGATGGAGTTCAGGGTTTCCTGAGGCGCCTGGTGACTTTTGACCCTTTGTCCTTACAGAACACCAGCCATCAAAGCCCTAAATGCCACAGGGCAAGCACACCTCAGCCTGGAGGCCCTTTTCCAGGTAACCCTATCTCGGTGCTTACATCTCTAGAATGTCGTTGTCCAAAGAGGACGGAGAAAACTTCTCTGAAATCAAGAAAAAATGCTGCAATAAACGCTGAAAACATTTTAAAAGCCACTTAATATTTTCTGAGTTTGGGTCTGTGTAGATTAGAGTATCGGTCTTCCCCTAAGCTTCTCTTCATAGTGAAAGAAATAAGCATAGTTATGTGTTTGTTGTTTAAAAGAGAAAGAACGAGAGCTGGAGAGATGGCTCAGAGGTTAAGAGCACTGGCTGCTCTTCCAGAGGACCCAGGTTCAATTCCCAGCACTCACATGGTGGCTCACAGTTATCTGTAACTCCAGTTCCATGGAGTCTAACACTCTCACACAGACATAGATGCAGGCAAAACACCAATACACATGAAATAAAAATAAATAAGTGAGAGAGGACAAGGATTTAAAAATCTATAACAATCATCCTGAGATACACTGAAATGTTAAGTGGTTATATTCTTTTTTACAAACATTTAATGTGAGTGTGTGTGTGTGTGTGTGTGTGTGTGTGCGCGCGCGCGTGCGTGCGTGCGTGTGTGCTCATGCCACACCATACACTCAGGAGCTCAGAGGACAACTTACGGGAGTTCATTTTCTCTTTCTGCCATGTGGGTTCCAGGGATTGAACTCAGGTCGTCAGGCTTGGCAGCAAGCTCCCTTACCTGCTAAGGCATGGCGCAGGCCGAGTGGCTATATTCTCCTTCATACGTACTCTACATGTATTTCATAATATGATTTTTTTTTCCTATACAGGTTTTATCTGTGGTTCCTGTTTATAACAAGTAAGTTGCACCGTTCAGTACGTCTCTCATTCCCCCCGAGAAGAATGTTACTGTGACCAGGTAACCCGAGTTTCAGAGCAAAAGCCCTCCAAAAGCCAGCTCAGCTGCCGGTCCTAACACCCCATATTGGAGGGAAGCAGAGAAAGGCGTTTCAGTCAGCATCCCCCGGAGAGCATCAGACGAGGGCTCAGTGAGTCTGAGCTGTCCTCAGGGTGCTGGCAGGAGGGGAGGTTTAAACAGAAGAATGGGCGGAGAGTCAAGAGTAGGTCCTCCTGGTGAAGGCGTGGTCTGGCTGACCACTGCCCCATTCTGCTTCTGCAGGGGGCTCTGAGGAAGTCCTCCCCTCTTGAGGGGACAGGCTGGTTCTCAGGCGATGAACCCCTCCAGGTGCAGGCCCCCTCTGGCTGTCTTGGATGATTGCCCTGCCTTGGGGGTGGGGGTGGTCTGTCCTGCAAGGCTGTCTGTCCTGTTCCCGGAACCTAGGTTGACTGCAGGTTTAGGATAATGATTGGGGGTGTTTAGGTGTCTTTGGGGAACTGGAATGGGACAGTATAAAAATGGACGGTGAGATGCTTCCGTGTATCTTGAGCCTTGAATCGGGATGATGTAGTTTAGATGAGCACCGGTTTCGAGATGGGCACTCCCTACAGGATGCCCTGTGCAGAGTGACAGCTTACCATGCCTGTGTGCACAAGAGAGCCGAGGAGACCGGTGTAAAATGAAGGCGGCGTGGCCGGGCTTAGCCTGCTCTGAGTTACCTCCTGGGCCCAGTGGAGAGTCAGGGCTTATCTCAGAGCTACCCACTCCTGCTCTTCCTTCTCCTGGCGGCTCGATGGCAGGCGTTTCATTTTCTTTTTCATTTTTATTCCCTAGACAGTTTCTCTGTATAGCCCTGGCTGTCCTGGATCTCACTCTGTAGTCCAGGCTGGCCTCGAACTCACAGAGATCCACCTGCCTCTGCCTCCCGAGTGCTGGGATTATAGGCATGCGCCACCACCACCAAGTGATTGTGTTTCTCTTTTTATGTATTATGGTGAGTTCGAGGCCAGCTTGGGCTACAGAGTGAGTTCCAGGACAGGCACCAAAACTACACAGAGAAACCCTGTCTCAAAAACAACAAAACAAAACAAAACAAACAAACAAACAAAAAAAACTACAGAAGAAAAAAAATACTGTTGTATATTACGACTGTCGATATTATTATCATTCCTTCCTTTTTAGCCTGTGCTTTCGACAGCCGCAGTCTGTGAGCTAGGGTTTCTCTGGCCTGTAGCCTGCCGTTCCACTCACACACTCTCCTAGGGCCACAGGAAGCCCTTAATATGCTCTGAGGGGTAGCTGTGCAGAAGTTGGGGGGAGGCGGTTCCTTTCATCATGACAGCAAAGAATAGGCAGTGACACCCCCCACCCCGCTAGAGGCAGCCCCGCAAATGGTCACTCACTACCACAGCGTGATGCTTTGAGGAATCAGAATGTCAAAGTCCACCTTGGCTTTCAGTGGCGTTTTCAAAATAGGCAGGAACCCCACTCAGACCTCTTGATCTGCGTTGAAACATTCTGCCTCTTTGCATCCTTACCCCGCATCCCGAGAGGAGACGGGGGAGGGCATCACACGGAGAAGGTGATGCATACACGAAGATTGTGTCTTGTTATTTCAGCTACACCATCTATACGACAGTGATGAGTGCTGCCCAGCCCGACAAGTACATGACCAGGATCCGCAACCCAAGCTAAAAGGTAAGCAGAGGAGTGAGCGCACCCATGCTGTGCTGTGAGTGATCTGACCATTTGTTACGGCTTGGGGAGGGGGGTGGGGTGGGGGCTGAGCAAGTACTTCTCACAGATGACGGTGACCTCCCTATGACTTAACAGGACATAATATTTTCAGATAAACATTTAGCATGTGATGGTCAGTCATTAGGTGTTTTTAATGTGACGCTGAAATCTCCTGGTGTCTCTGTCCGTTGTCCCCTAACAAACCCTGCTCTCAAGACCCCCTGTTAGCTCCTCACATATCAGGGGCAGTGGATACTTAGGAAGACCCGTGTGTCCCCAGGCAATAGTGAGGCCCAGTGACTTTGAGCATCAGAAGGCAGATCCTGAAGGCAGATCCTGAAGGCAGATCCTGAAGGCAGATCCTGAAGGCAGATCCTGAAGGCAGATCCTGAAGGCAGCGGACCCTCACAGAGTTTATCTGAAGGCACCAGAGAGCCCAGGGGGAAGAGGAAAGACGAAAAGGGACAGGAGTCTCCTTCATGCTGTCCCTGGACTCGACCTTCTGGACAGCACCTGCTATTAGGACCCTAGGCTGCTTAGTGCTCAGGTCTCCGGATTGTTCAGCCTGGCCTGATGGTTTGGCCAGTCGTTTATCATGGGCATGTAAAAAAACAGAAAAATAACATTTTTTTAAAAAAAATTTTGTTTGAATTAAAGGCATGTGTCTCTTCTTCCCTACCAGGTAATTACTTTCTAAGAGCTGCATTTGAAAGACTAGAACAGAGAGAAAGCGTCGCACTGATTTGTGAGGATGTGGCTTCCTCCTCATGCTGCTTTTCTCCCTGCGGCTGTGAGGGGATCTCTCAGCGCCTGTCTGGAGCAGTGGGGAGTCGCCCCTTGTCTTGCAGCCTCCCCACTTCCTGGTCCCCGTGATCTTCATTAACAACCCGTCCTGGCAGGAACAACCCCAGTAACTGGTGTCAGAGGTCAGGGTGTATCTGGCTGGTCTCAGTTTCCCGTGATGCTGTGTTCCCACTTCCGCCTTTCTGCTGAAGAAGTGGGGGGGGGGGGGCAGCTGCCGTCACGTGGGGGCCTGGGGACAAGCCCAGGAAAAGTTTCTCCTCAGGCTGGGGTGCAGCTCATGGCAGAGTTTGCCCAACAAGGCGAAGCCCTGAGTTCCATCCAGAGCACCACAGAATAAAGAAATAAATCAAAGTTTTCTCTGAAAAATGGAGAACTGTAATTTGAGTAGAATTTGTTTAAAGGTATGTTAGTCTTTCCTATTTCCACATAGTGACACTTTTACTTTTTATAAACTTCTAGTGTGTTTTTTAAAAATGTGGACATTATTTTAAAAAAAAAAACAAACCTACTTTCTTACTACTTTTGAAAATGATATGAAACCAAATAACTTCCTGTCATTGTTTATTGTTTGTTAATAAAATGTCAAAAGGTCTTGTCAGGAAGAATAAAACTTGCAGGACATGGAGTGTTGTGTTGTACCTGCTTGCCCTGAAACCTCGAGCTTCGGTTTTAAATATAGTTTATTATCTTATATTTCCGACTGGGTGTAGGAAAAAGAACTTGAGTGTAGATTTCTTTGTAAATGTTCATGGGAGATTTAATACCTGTTTAATATACTCAAGCGTCTTAGATTTGCTGAAGAATGATCTGGGAATGTAGATTAACACTCATCTCAGCCTCATCCTGAGGGGATTGAGTCCATGGGAAAGGCGGGTGGGAACACACACACACACACACACACACACGTACACATGTACACAAATGTCACGTGTCTTATGGAGCAGCTGGCGTGCAGCAGCCGGCTTCTGTGGGGGTCACCATTCTCTGTTTCTGGGTTAAGGAGATCAGGCATCCAGGGCTGGATTGGGGAATGTACCTCCTAATCCACAAGAGTAAGAGGATCTGGAACTGGTGTGTGTGTGTGTGTGTGTGTGGTGTGTGTGTGTGTGTGTGTGTGTGTGTCCCACCCAGAGTAACACGTCACCCTCTGCAGACTTGCCTTCTGTCCCCGGGCCTCATTTGACCCAGGTTGCCGGCCCAGAGCTTGAAGGTGGACATTGCAAATGTCACTTGGCACTTGAAATGCAGTGCCAGGGTTGTGAGTGGCATCGTGCCCTCCGAGAAGACAACACCAGACAAAGGTGGTGTCGTACCTGTTAGACCTGCAGCCAGTTCCCCGCACCGGCCCTGAAGACAGGATGACGACCAGACGTGTGGGTTAGGTGTCCGCCTCCTCGTGCCTTGCAATCAACAAAGCAGCAAGAAGGTAAGCGGGAACTTCCTGGCCTGTGGGACAGAAACGGATGAGAGCAGGAACCCAACAAATGAAGCTGATGTGGGAGGGAAAAGGTTTCCTCGTGGACCACGGGGATAGAAGCACAGCTCCCGTCCATCTCCCGCAGCAGCCTCGAGAGTTTCCTGTCCCCAGGGACCTCCATCCAGGCAAAACCAGGAGGGGGCTTCCAGGAGGGGATGTTCAGGGACAGCCAGTCTGAAACAGTGTTGGAGAGTGAGTGAAGTACATCTCTAACATAGACATGGAGCACGGGGGTTAATAGTGAGAGGCACTCAGGGAGGCAGTGACACACCCATGCGTGCCCGTGGCCTTCTGCATGAGAGTCAAATTTGGGTGTCTTTACAACGGGTTTATATTGGATCTTAATGGTTTTCAAGTTACAGCTCTAAGGCTTGCTAAGAATACCACCCCACCCCAGCAGATACACACATGTGCACACACACTTATTTTTTAAAAATACTTTAGATTTATTTTTTATTTTTTATATATAAACGTTTTGCCTATGTGTATGTATGTGCACCATGTGCATGCCTAGTGCCCATGAATGTCAGAAAAGGATGTTGGATTCCCTGAAACTGGAGTTATAAATGGTTGTGAGCTGCCATGTAGGTGCTGGGAATTGAACCCTGGTCCCCTGAAAGAACAAGTGCTCTAAACCACTGGGCTGTCCCTCCAGCCCCCCAACACACACACACGCACACGCACACACGCACACACGCACACACTCACTCACACTCACACACTATTTTCAACACTGCTCAAAGAGCATAGCTTGTAACAAGACCACAAACAAAAGCATTTTCCTCAGTAGACAAAGCTGCAAGGTGGATCTGTAAGAGGCGTTGTTCAGGCTTAGGAAAGAGCGGGTACGTTCAAGCTTCTACGTCCCTTTGTTCTTACATAAGCAGTTTATTTACACTTGACCTGGGTAGGAATTCATGTGTCATTCCAGGCCTAAGTAAGCCTAGCTTGCCTGTGGCCTCCAACACCTTGGTGTGAGATGTCTGTGGAAAGCACAGACTGCCTCACCGAGCAACCATGACCTCCCCAAAGATGCTTGAAGTTTCCTGACGTCCCCGAGCCAGGCCCCAGGACCACAGGCAGTTTTCCTGTCACCTGCCATTGGCTCCCCTTTCCACGTCACTGCCATTTTCTGTCTCTCCCCTGCCTCAGTTCTGTTTGGGAATGAAGGTCAGTCGGTTAGAAAACCTCTGTTCCGTCATCAGCTCACAGGGAGCTGGAGGGGCTACCCTTGTGTTTTCTAGATTTCAGGCCCCGACAACCAAATTCCTCCCACTTATTAGACTCAGTGTGAGCAGAGCAGTGTCTATATTAAAAAGAAAATGATGAGGCCTGGCTGACTTGACTGGTTAAGCCAAGTTCTAGAGTGGCAGGGAACCTCCCTCCCAGAGCGGCGTAGTGTGGAAGTCACAGTGACTCGCGCAGATGGGTCACAGGGGACCTCGGGTGTGGCAGCTGTCAGTCACTGCCATAGGGAGCCATAGGGAGCTCCTTCAACCTCATTTTCCGGGAGTGCGTGCGTGCGTGCGTGCGTGCGTGCGTGCGTGCGTGTGTGTGTGTGTGTGTGTGTGTGTGTGCGCGCGCGCGTGCGCGCATGTGCGCACAAGCACGTGCATCTGTGTGTGCGCGTGGTGGAGACCACGAGTAGGCATCCCTTGTCTTCTATAATCTCTACAATCATTCTCACCTTATATTTTTGAGACTGTTTCTCTCTGAACCCAGTGCTCCCCAATGTGGTTAGCTGCAGTCATTAAGCCCCACCATCTCCCGGTCTCCACTCTCAGCCCTGGAGTAACAGGCAAGCCCCGGCCACACCTGGCTTTTCACACGGGTGCTTGTGACCCCAGCTCAGGTCCCTCGTGCCCCTGCACTGAGAACTTCACCCACAGAGTCCTCTCCCCAGCCTTCGGTTTTCACTCTTGAGATGTTTTTCCTGAAAATCCTTCTGTTTTCCCTTTCTGTTTATTTTTTTAGTGACTTCTAGACGACTTCACTTTCTCTAGAGGACCTGTATGTAATAATTAATCTAGTTACAGTTCCTTTCTTATTTTTTTCTTTTCATGTAAAAATTTTGAAAATATAGCATTTATTGATTGCAGTGATACAGATTATTTAAAAACCAAAACAAAACCCCTAGAAGTTCAAACTGAGAATCCTCCTATTAGTAACGAGGCTCAGTTCTGCTTAGCCTTTGAGGTCAGATCCAACCGGGTCCCTTTAAGAGGGCGTGGTCACAGGCAAAGCGCAGGTCTCAAACTGAGTGTGGTCGTGCATGCCTGTAATCCCAGCGCTCAGAAGGCTGAGGAAGGAGGACTGTCCTCCAGGTTACCCGGGACACAGGTCAAGACCTGTCTGTCAAGACACAAAGAAGGGAGAGGGGGGAGGAAGGAAGGAGAGAGGAGAGGGAGGTGGGGGGTGGAGGGAGGGGATGCTCTCATCGAAGAGCGGGGTGTACACCCTGGTCTTCACCCCACTCTTCATCGAAGAGCGGGGTGTACACCCTGGTCTCCACACGCTCGGACTGTTCCGTGCAGGTGAGAGCACACTGGGCACACAGTTCTGCAGTTGGCTTTTCTTCATGTGCCTCATCTTGGGGACATTTTCAGAGCGTGGCACACGGGCTCGCCTTGCTCTTTGTCATGTCCAATGTACGCCACTGTTTTTTATTATGCCATAACATATTTGGCTGATTCTGTATGGGAATTACTGAAGCACTTTTTATTTTGTGGGGATGCATATGACAGGAGTTTTTTTTTTCTAAGACAGGGCTCCACTGTGTAGGCCAGGCTAGCCTCAAACTTGTGGTCTTCCTGAGTGCTGGGATTACAGATATACACCACTGTGCTCAGTTCTAAACCTTTGAGGCTGTCATTTAAGGAAACAATTACTCCGTGCTTTACATGACCATAAAGCTTTGCAAAGTACTCGTGTACATAACCTTAGTCACCCAATGACACCCCTGTAATGGAGTTACAATAACCCTGGAGCTCCATGCAGGGATGCATGCACCCCTGTAGCACTAGTGATAGCTGGGACCCCTCTCCCCTTCCACGTGCTATATGGGACAAACATCCCTTTATCCATGGTGACGCTTAGATGTTACACTTAGATGTGCCACCCGATGGAGGACACATGGCGATCACCCCTGCTTATTGGCCCATGAGAGCTATTGCTTTTTGCGCTGGAGCAGCGTCGCAATGACGTCTCCAATAATTTACCTTTGCCGTCAGTACCTCACCAGAACTGCAAAGCCGTCTGTCTCGGCAGGGCCCACCTGGATTACAGTTCTGTGCCGTGGGGTCTCAGATGTGGAGTCTCTTGTGTTTGCTTTTCTCCTCTCCAGTCTCTCTCTCGAGCTCATTCATGCATGCTTGGGTGTATGTGTGCCTGGGTATGTGTGTGCCTGGGTGCATGAATGCCTGGGTGTGTGCATGCCTGGGTGTGTGCGCACATGGTATGGATTTTAGTCCCAAACCATCTTCTCTTCTACTGTGTGCTTCAATCATTGTGAAAAGTTTTGATCAGTGAGGACGACAATGGTAGTTTTTTGTTTGTTTGATTGTTTTTTTTTTTGTTGTTTGTTTGTTTTTTTTTGTTTTTCGAGACAGGGTTTCTCTGTATAGCTCTGGTGCCTGTCCTGGATCTCACTCTGTAGACCAGGCTGGCCTCAAACTCACAGAGATCCGCCTGGCTCTGCCTCCCAAGTGTTGGGATTAAAGGCATGTGCCACTACCACCCGGCCACAGTGGTAGTTTTAAGAGCCAGGCATGGGTGACGCAGACCTGTAATCCCAGCTGTTCGGGAGACTGAGACAAGAGGGTCTCAAGTTTGAGTCCAGCCTGAATAGTTAACTTCTCAAAATGAACGTAAAAGGGGGGTTAGGATGTAGCTCAGTTGGCAGGTGCTGGACTAGCATGCATGAGGCCCAGCACCACATAAACAGGCGTCATTGGTGCATGCCACTCACCCAGCACTCAGACGGCAAAGACAGCACAGTCAGAAGTTCAAGGTCATCCTCAGTTACACAATGAGTTTGAGGCTAGCCTGGAATACATGAGATCCTGTCTCAAAACAAAACAAAACAAAATAAATAAAAGGATATGGTTCCGTGGAAGAATGTTTGTCTAGTATATCTCAGTGCTATAAAACAATAGTATTGCTGGGAAGTGGTGGCGCACACCTTTAATCTCAGCACTCAGGAGGTAGAGGCGGGGGATCCCTGTGAGTTCCAGGATCAGCCTGGTCTACATAGTAAGTTCCAGGACAACCTGGTCTACATAGTGAGTTCCAGGACAGCCTGATCTACATACTGAGTTCTAGGACAGCCTTAGTCTATATAGTGAGTTCCAGGACAGCCTGGTCTACATACTGAGTTCTAGGACAGCCTGGTCTACACAGTGAGTTCCAGAACAGCCTGGTCTACATACTGAGCGTCAGGACAGCCTGGTCTACATACTGAGTTCTAGGACAACCTGGTATATAGTGAGTTCTAGGACAGCCTGGTCTACATAGTGAGTTCTAAGACAGCCTGGTCTACAGAGTGAGTTCCAGGATAGCCAGGGCTACACAGAGAAACCCTGTCTCAAAAAACCAAACAAACTAGAATCTAAGAAGAAAATGTTCCACTTGCTCGTGTGGGTGAGAGGAGAGCAGTGGTTTGTAGCAGTTTAAGGATGGCAGAGATTATGAAAAGCATTTTTGAAACCTCAAAAGCCACCCTCATGTTTCTAGACCACGGAGGAAAAACCAGTAGAGAATGAAAACGGGAGGAAGAAGAGTTGACAAACGGAGGGAATTCTCACGGGATAAACAAACCCTGTGTACCGAGCCTGGAGGGGGGGGGGTGCTCCCATGGGGTTCACAGACACTTTATTCCCTCTGAACTGACACTTTGTGTCAATCTCCCTCTGACAGCGCCCTTCCGTCAGCAAACACCTCTCTCCTCCGGATCTGCTGTCCGTGTCCTGCAGGAGCTCTGGACCTCCTCAACTGATCTGCTGTCCGCGTCCTGCAGGAGCTCTGGACCTCCTCAACTGATCTGCTGTCCGCGTCCTGCAGGAGCTCTGGACCTCAACCATGGGAAGCAGCTCCTCCACCCAGCACCACTTTGCTTTTCAGAATGCCGAGAAAGGTATGTGCTTCTTTCCTTCTGAGCTAGCCTTGGTGCGCAGAGCCCATGCTGCGTGGGGCGGAACTCCTCAGGATGGAAGCATTGACCTGTCCTCAAGCCCCCTCTAGGAAATTGCTGGCTCCTTGGCAGTGACCGACCGCCAGCGTGCTCAGCAGACCATCTGAGCTGATAGAATTAAAATGTTCCCAGCAGTTCTTGTTGTCAGAGTTTATCCAGACTGTACACAAGTGGATGAAATGATGTTGGGCAAACGGGGATGAAAATGCTTGTCCACCCTGTACCAGGGTCAGCGGGGAGAAAAAACTGATGCCCATTCACGGAACGGAATGGTCTAAAGTGAAGAGGTGGAGAATTAAAGGGGGTGGAGCTGTTGAGGTTGGAAGAAGCCAGACCAGTCCGAATCTTGCAGGATCTTGTTTGCTTATTTGGGGTCTTTTAAAGTAGAGATTCACTGTGTAGCTCTGGCTGCCAGCAACTCGTTATAGACCATGTTGATCTCAAACTTGCCACAATTCTCTCGCCTCTGCTTCCCAGGGGCTGCTGGTACTGGGGGCATGTACCACCATGTCCAGCCTTCTGTAGGACTAAACTTTATTCCAAAGGCATGAAGGACCAAAGAATTCAAAATAAGGAATTCTGTAACAATATTTTTACCTCTTCAAAACATCCCTGGCTTCTGTGAAGAAAGGATTGAAGAGAGAATAAAAAGAAACAAATTTATAGAGCTACTAATGTTATCTGTATTAGCTACTTTTGCATGGATGTGACCAAATACCTAATAGAACAAAGTATTATTATTATTACTATCATCATCATCATCATCATCATCATCATCATCATCATCATTGACAGGGACTCACTATGTGGCTCTGGCTGTCCTGGAACTCACTATGTAGACTAGGCTGTCTTGGAACTCACAGAGATCTGCCTGCCTCTGCCTCCCAAATGCTAGGATTAAAATCATGTGCTACCACACCCCTCAATTTTTTTTTGTTTTGTTTTGGTTTGGTTTTTTGAGACAGGGTTTGTCTGTGTAGTTTTTGGTGCCTGTCCTGGATCTCACTCTGTAGACCAGGCTGGCCTTGAACTCACAGAGATCCGCCTGCCTCTGCCTCCTGAGTGCTGGGATTAAAGGTGTGCTCCACCGCCACCCGGCTTCAATGTATTTCTTAAACTGAGACTGCTAACCGTCTTAGTTCAGGTTACTACTGCTGTGATGAAACACCATAGCCAAAGAAACTTGGGGAGGAGAGGGTTTATTAAGCTTATGCTTCCACATCACTGTTCATGATCAAGGGAAGTCAGAACAGGAACTCAAGCAGGGCAGGAATTCAAAGGCAGGAGCTGATGCAGAAGCCATGGAGGAGTGCTGCTTTCTGGCTTGCTCCCCACAGCTTGCTCAGCCTACTTTCTTGTAGAACCCAGGACCACCTGCCCAGGGATGGAGCCACCCACAATGGACTAGGCCCTCCCCATCAATCACTAATTAAGAAAATGCCCTGCAGCCGGATCTTATGGAGGCATTCTCTCAGTTGAGGCTCTCTGATGACTCTAGCTTGTGTCAAGTTGACATACAACTAACCAAGACAGTAACATAGGACCTAGGAAACACAACTTACTTGTGTGACATCAAGAGAATCCCTGTTCTTCATGGAATCTAATTACTTGTCTGGATGAAGATGCTGAGATGTAAGATGGCTTGAGAGGAACCCAATCTCTAGATATTCAGCCTGCTGTCAGAATGTGAACATAACACACACACACACACACACACACACTCTTCAAGTGTGTAAAATCCTGGCCATCTTTCCAAGTGACATCTCCTTCCCAGAATCCTCAGACCCCGACTCTTCTACATGTATACAGTAGTCTCTCTTTATCCATATTTTCATTCCCAACTATGTTGCTTATCCACAGTTAAACTATGACTGGGTGGAAAGTACTGAATGGAAAACTCCAGAAATAAATAATTAATCTTTTACATCGTATTCCATTGAGAATAGTGTGAAGATTTCTCACCCTGTCTAGGTCTGCTCCTCGGGGACTTGACTCATTTCTTTGGCCTGAGTGTTCATGCTCTGTCTGCTGTAGGTTCACTTGTCACATTGTCATCTTAGCTGTCAAATCAGCTGCTCCATCACAACGCTTCTTTGCTCTTTCTCTCTCTCTCTCTCTCTCTCTCTCTCTCTCTCTCTCTCTCTTTTTTTTTTTGGTTTGGTTTTTTGAGACAGGGTTTCTCTGTGTAGCCCTAGCTGTCCTGGAACCCATTCTAAAGAACAGGCTGGCCTGGAACTCACTGAGAGCCACCTGCCTCTGCCTCCTGAGTGCTGAGATTAAAGGCATGTGTCACTACCACCCAGCTGCTTCTTTTCTTTTTAAGAATTTATTTTTTTATATCTTATGTGTATGTACATTTTGCTTACACATATATATTGTAAAGATATTGTACCAGGTTTTCTTTTGGGCCACCAACCAACTCCCAAATCATGATAGGGAAACTTTTTAGTTATAAATGCTCAACCTAGCTTAGGCTTGTTTCTGGCTAAGTCTTTTAATTTAAATTAACTTGTTTCTCTTTGTCTACCTTTCGCCTCAGGGCTTTTGACCTTTCTTTCCTTCTGTGTATCTTACTTTCACTGTTTCTCCTGTCTGGCTGGCTGGTGGCGACCTGGCTTCTGGCCCCAGGCATGTCCCTCCCATTCTCTCTCATGTTCTTCTTTTCCTCTCTTCTTTCTCCTCCTATATATTCTCTCTGTCCACCAGCCCTGCCTATTCTTTCTCCTGCCTGGCTAATAGCTGTTCATCTCTTTTTTTT